ACCGTGGAGTGGCCTCAGCAGGTGTCCTGAATGGCCATAAATACGCTGCTTCTCAGGTCTTGTGACGCGAAAACTATCCTGAGAAGGAAGGCTACTTCATCTCTGTAGATTAGCATGAGGACAGGCCACATGGGGAGCAGTGGGAAGAGGGCTATAATAAGGAAAGCAGCAGGATTCCTGTTAGTGAAGTCGGAGGGGCTGGGGTTGTAGCTTAGCCACATAAGCACCTTTGGGGCAAGCGCAAGGTCCCCAGTTCGATCCCTGGTACCAAAAAACAAGGAAATAGGAAACAAATGTGTAGTAGAGAAGAATGTTGTTATAAGTGGCTTCTTGCAGGAGCTGTCATTGCTGGTGGCAGTACAAAATGGCGTGGCTTCTTAGGAAATGAAATATACTCTATGTGGCGTAGCCATCGTGCCCTGCTGCTTCACCAAAAGGAGCTGAGTCTTTACGTTCAGCTTGCCCTCAGAGGTTGCAGCACCCTTCGTTAAGAATGCCAGACTTCCTAATCTAATAAAGGACGTCTGCAAAACTAGGAAGGAAACCACACAGTGGCAGTGTGTTGGAAGCTGTTCCTGCCCACTGGGGTGTCCTTTATCATTGCTGGTGAGAGGTCCCACCCAACTGAGAGGAGATGCAAGCACGGTTTGATGCTGGGCACGGTGGTGCACGCCTGAAATCCCAACACGCAGGACATTCACTACAAGTTTGAGGCCAGCCTGGGCTACATAGTGAGTTCAAGGCCAGCCTGATCTATGTAACAAAACCCTGTCCCAGATGAAAAGAAAAATAAACCATCATTATTAGCAGATGACATGATTGACATATAAAGAAAACTGAAAAGATTCTATAGTACAATCATTCAAATTAATAAGTATAGCAGGTAGTTAGATATAAAATCAACATGTAAAATTTATTATTAATAAAACCACCATTATCTAAAACTATACTAACATCAAAGAAAAATGTGAAATAATGAGAGAGCTAGAGTACACAGTGTACACCGCCAGCCCTAAAACTCCCAGAAGAACCTGAGGAGATGAACCTAAGTGGAGAGGTATGCTGCCTCCACAGGGAGGCCCAGGGTGTCAGCAGCCCCGGACGTGGTTGCAGCATCGAGCACTGAGAGCAGCAGAACTTGCTCGCTAAGGCTGTGGCTCTCACTGTGGATCAGAAGGACCCACACACAGAGGCGCATATGTAAAGGGTGAACTGAAAATGGAACAAATGTTAAGCTTATTAGAAAGGATTTATCACAGTAAAAACGTTGCCATCAATGCTTCTCAGAGTATTGCCCCTGATTTTGGTGCCTACCCCGTCTTTCTTGCTTCTTGTAAAGCAGTTCTGAGATGTCTTTATGAGCTGTCTTTAGTTGCCCCGATGTGGCTGCCTCAGTCTCCAAACCAGCTCGGAATGTTTCCTGGTTTGACTTCGGGAAAGAGCCAAGAGTTGCCTAGGGCCGATCCATTGAGTGTGGTAGATGAGGACAAGCAGCGCTGCACCAGAAGGGGTGTGTGACACGGAGCACTGTCATGGTGGAGGGTGAGACTGCGCACTTCTCGGGCCTTGTCTGTGTGTGCATTCCTTACACTAGTAAGCTTTCGCAGTACTTGGAATTTCCTGGAGTCTGCACCAACTTGGCTCACACAGTTCCACTGGGGGCAGAAGGCAGTCGGCATCGTGTTCATGTTGGAGCTTAACTGACGAACTTTTTGGCCCAAGGAGAACACTGTGACTTCCATTAAGGACTCTGAACCTTGGTCCCAGGGTGATAAGCAGAGGCCCAAATTTCATCTCCCATGATGACATTTCTTAAAAAGCTGAAATTGAGAGAGCAAAATCATAAAACTCCAATGACATTAGCAGAATTTCAGTTGATACACTGTGATCTGTGGCACGTGACATTTTGAAATACGCCTCTCTGAATCACAGTCACAACTAACTGCAGCAGACAAGTTCACTGCTGCTAAAACGTGACACGCCATGCCTGGTATGGAAGATTTCTGTCTTCCTTACAGTGGCACTCAGCAGTAGTACTCACTGTATTTTTATTGTACTCCAGGATTACTTTTATAAACTGAAAAAATAGTTTACCAATTGAGAAGTTAGTGCTAACCTTTCAGGTACCGGGAGCTCCGATTTTTAACCTAGCACTATGGCCTTGTGAAAACTCACACGATATATGTAGAATTTGTGCTTTTGGAGATGGCACATTTCGTGTGTAATTTACTTCAAAACAAGTGAGAAGAGATGAGCAGGATAGACCACATTGTGGATAAGGCTCCCATCAGAAAATTGTTCCCAGCAGTAAGAAAAAGCGTTAACACCTGTGAGTACAAATTTCCTGTCAGTTCGTTCACTATCCGCCAAGTGGGCATTGCAAAGGGGTGCAGAAGTAGGAACTGGTACCGTGTCACCCTCACCCAGCCTGCAGGGACATTGTAGTGTCGTGATGACCCTGAACACCTGCTGCTTGCTGGTGAGGATGGGGAAGGAGGCTGATGAGTGAGCTGAGCTGTGACTGCTGTTTGTGGCAGGAGAGCTCGGAGGTGAAGGAGGAGGGGCTGTGCAGTGGACTCTGGTTATGAGAGGAGGATCCTGCATCTCTGCTGACCCGAGCCCCAGCCGCTTACCTGGCGGCTGCAGAGGGCTGACATGTGTGCTGATGCATCTGAGAAACCGACTGTACAGTTCATTCTAAGTCAGAGTACCACCTGTCGGTGCAGCCAAGCCAACACGGTTCTAGACAGGACAGCACACTGTGCACGCTGTGTCCAGTCACACAGGTGCTTCGTGACAAGAATAAGCAGTGAGGCAGGGAGGGACGGTACATTTCTGTAATCCCTGCACCCTGGGAGGCTGAGGAGAATCACAAGTTTGAGTCCAGCCTGAGCAACTTAGGGGCTTAGTGAGGTCCCACCTCAAAATTTTAAGAAGTTTTTTTTTTTTTTTATTTTAAAGAGAGAAACAATAATACAAAACAAGATAATAGAGTAACAGTGGCTAACACATTGCATATTGTTATCTTCACATGTTCAGATTATAAGATATAAGCATGAAAAATTGATCAAAAAATATAAACACAGAGCCTGGGAGATAGCTCAACAGCCTAAGTACCTGCCTGGCAAGTGCAAGGTCCCGAGTTTGACCCCCAGTAATACACATAAACACTATGTATATGTGTATATATATTATATACATATAAACCTGTTCAATGAGCTATGAAAAATTAGTATAACTATCTTAACTATATTGTACAAAGTTTTTTAAAAGACTGGGGTGTACTTCATGTGAAGGTTCTGGGTTCAATCCATAGTATTGCAAGAAGAAAAATAAAAAGTAATATAGGAGGCCCACCAGAAGCAGTGGGCTTCGTCTAGAGGGGTGTGGAGGAGACAGCTGTGTACCCCTTTGTAGTAGCCATCTTTCTAAAAACAAGTGCTGTCAGATATAGTGCTGTACAGCAAAAACACTTTTTTTTTTTTTGGCAGTGCAGAGGATTTAACCTGGGGAACACTGAGATACATCCCCAGTCCATTTTATTTTTTCATCCTGAGACAGGGTCTCACTGAATTGCCCAGGCTAGCCTGAAACTCATAAGCCTCCTGCCTCAGTCTGGGATTGTAGGTGTGCACCACCATGCCCAGCTAACAAAAGGTTTTGACCAAGCTTTAGAATTTACTGTAGCACAATTCCAGTTTGCTGTAAATTTCTTAAAATAATTACAGACTTAATTGCATTTTAGTAAGTGAAGCATTGCTTTAAAGAGAATAAAATCTGTCACTGTTTCCTGATTTATTCTGGTTTTATGTACTCTATTAAATAGGTGATGACCTAAAATAGTGTTGTGCTAATTTGAGCACAGAAATAGAGCAGAAGATGACTTGTTCTTGGCGGGGACATGTGGCTACTCCCCGTGCTGATGAGGTTGTTGGGTCCGCCTGGCCAGCTGCTCCAGAACCAATGGAGTGTGGCAACCCTCTGCAGCACCCAACGGGGTCTTTTGTTTGAGGACAGCAAAAACATTAGACATGAACGTGGTGGGCTGATGAGATAGCTCAGCAGTCCAAGTGCTGCCTGGCAAGCACAAAGGCCCAAGTTCAATCCCCTGTACCACATGCGGTGCCAGCCCCGGAACTCTGGGCACGCCATGCCAGCCAAGAAAACCAGACGTGCTAGTGCACGCCTGTAATCCCAGTGCTGGGGAGGCTAAGACAGGAGGATCACTCCTAGTCCAAGCTGCAGAGTGAGACCCTATACCAAATAAAAGATTTTTTTAAAAAAAGACTTTAAGGTGGATTTGATAAAACCAGCATTTCATGTTTCTATGACATTCTTGTTTTGTAAAAAATTAGCACCCATCAGCCTTTAAAGGCACATATGTCTTTTTATTCTTTGTTTTTATTTGGTATAGGGTCTCACCGTGCAGCTCAGAGGCCTAGTGAGCCACCTGTTTTCAGCCTTCCCAGCGCAGGGATTACAGTCATGCGCCACCACACCTGGACCCCATGGACTCCGTGGCTGGTTCCGTGTTCCCCGGGGGTGGCGCCGGTGCGGCATATGGTGTCTTTATTCTTAAGCTATAAATATCATTTCAAATGAGGTTTTTGTAAGTTTTCGTAACCAGCAGCAATTGTGACTTTTTACAAACACACCCACTGGGGTCCCGCGCCATGCCTCAGCTGCTTTACCTTCCCTTTGCCTCTGAAGACAGTTTCGCAGAGGCCAGCCCGCAGGGCGCGGTCCTGCGCGGCTTCCCGTGGGCGTGGCTCTGCTGCGGAGCGCGGGCCTGCCCTGGAGCCGCCAGCGTCCTCTCCTCTCTTCTTGCCATAGCTCGGGAGAGGTTCTCCCTCGCTCGCTTGCTGGTGCTTTCTGGGTGGAACCTGCCTGTAGGCTTCCGGCTGTTGTCAGCAGAGCTTCCAGGGCTGCACATGGTGTCTGGTGTCTGGTCTCTGGTCGAGGCGCTGTTGGTAATTTTCTGTGTGTGTTCTTCTCCACAGCTTGAATACATCAACTCCCGCGCTGTGCAGCTTGGGTCCCTCCTCGTCCGAGGCCTCACCACTCTGGCTCTGGTGAACAGCGCTTGTGGCTTCCCCTGGGAGATGAATGAGTTCATGCCCTGGAATGTGTTTGATGGGAAGCTTTTTCATCAGAAGTACCTGCAGTCCGAAAAGGGGTATGCCCTGGAGGTTCTTCTGGAGCAAAACGTGAGTCTGTGGGATCTGTTTGCTTTGTTTTGCTTTGCGCATTTCAGAAACAATTGGGGCTGGCCAGTCAGGTGAGCAGGGCTGTCCTGCTCGGGCACCCTCGGCCCTTGTCTGAGGCCTCAGAAATCTGCACCACTAATGTTAGATGAGTAACACTTCTACAACTTTCCTGACAGAAAGGTCCCGCTACTGTGTGACACCAGGAACTGGTGGCCAGTAGCGCTGTGTTGGTGTCTGTGGGTGCCACGGCCTCTGCCTGGGAAGGGAGGGTTTCATTTTGCAGAAGGGCTGCCACAGCCCTCACACCACTTGGTGGGACACTTGAAAATATTCCAAAGGCTTCCTGTGTCCCTAGGGGTGTGGCTGCTGCTCCACTTCTGGGGTGCAGTTGCCACATGGTTCCTGGAAGGTTTCCAAATAAGGCCCCACGCCAAGCTCATTTGGAATGTTTTAATACCCGCAGGGATGAAAGACAGTGTGAGAGAGCATGCTGGTCTGTTAGGTAAAATGCTCTACCCTGTAATACCAGAGGGAAAACATTTGGTAATGTGTTGGCACCACCATTTCTCACCAAAGGAAAACAAGCCAGCGTGTCACAGGACTTCTGTGTTCAAGACTTAGAAATGACCTCAATTATGCATGGGCAGCAAAAGCAGAGTGAGAGAGAACAGGCGTCGTAGATGCGTGTTGTGTAGCGGTGGTGCAGAGAGACCACCCCTGCAAGCCACAGCCACGTGGGCCTCTAGGCTTCTGTACCTGGTCTTTGACTGTACATGTGATAACAGGTTAAAAAAGAATCAAGCACATAGGATCGAATATTCACTGGTAACATAGGGAGCTGCTAGGAGAGGGTGCCTGCCCCTGCCTGCTGTCTGCTGCTGTTTGTGGCCTCAGCACACCCTTCAAGTAAGAATGGAAATAAGATGCATAGCTTCTGAGATAGGATTATGGGTAGTTACCTCGGTTACGATTAGCAGTGACTGCTTACCCCACAGAAGAGAAAGGGCGGTGCATTTACTTACTGAAGCTTTCTGCGCAGACTCGGGAAGGTCTCCTGAGACACTCAGTGCCCCCACGAGGGAGGACTCAGCGCTCTCAGCTGGTACAGTGTGCAGCCTTCTGGGGTAGAACCTCCGTGGTGTGTGTCCCATCCTTCCATGCGGGCCCTGCTGCCGTGCCGCGGCCTCTTCCCCAGGATGTGTGGCCAGCTCTCATTGGCATTCAATCTATTTGCAGCGATCTTGGCTCACCAAATTTCACGATCTGAAGGCAGTGGTGTGCAAGGCCTGCATGAAGGAGAACCGTCGCATCGTGGGCCGATCGCACTGGAACTCGCACCATACAGGTGGGCAAGGGCCACACATTCACTTCCCTCAGCTTGGTGCTCTTGATAGGCCCAGCTCTTTCCTGAGGCTTACTGGTAGGGGATTCCAAGAAGGGCTAGGCCCAGTGGCACACACACCTGGGAGGCTGAGGCAGGAAGATGGCAGTGCCCAGGAGGCTAGCCCAGGCTACTCAGTAGCCTGAACTACAGAGTAAAGCCAGACTAAAGAAAAGAAGGGGGAAGAAAGAATTCTGAGAGAAAGATGAAGAAATGACAAGAAAGGATTACAATTAATATGGTAAGAGTTCTACTTAGTACTTTAAATCCTGGCCCCATTTAGAAACAAAATTTCAGAAAAGGTTGAATTATTCACTGAATAATTATTCTCATATTTGTTCTCATTCTCTTTCTCTCCCCCTCCCTCTCTTCTCCTCCCCTCCCCCTCCCCCCCTCCCCCTTTCCCTCTCTTCCTCTCCCTCCCCCTCCCCCCCCACTTCCTGCAATCCTCCAGAGTGTAGAGGCCACCTGGTAGTGCTTGTTAACTTTACAAAAATTTAGCTTTAGTTTCTCCTTGTGAAAGAGCCATGTTAGAAAAATCTAAGGGGTGAAGAATATAATGAAAAAATAAGAGTGCTCTCTGCTTCTGTCACCTAAAGTGACTGTGCTAACAGATGATGCAGTTCTGCAGCATTTTCCTTTGCTTTTATGTCATGGTTGTTACTCGATGCAGTTTTGGATCCTGCTTTTCCAGGTACAACTTAACTTACCATAACAGTTGTGATAAAAAGAAAATTTTTCAATAGTAGCCATGGACTCTTCCCCTGCTCAACAGACCCTGTGTATTTACCACTTGGCCTATTTTTCAGGCTGCAGCTGTTTCCATTTTTCTTATTCACATTGCCTTTGTGTGCATTATTTCCTTAAAATAAAGTGTCCTGTACAGTTTGCAGAATCATAGATCAGAATGTAATCGGATTTCAGGTACACATTGCAGCTTGTGTTCTCAAGCCTTGATTATGCCCTGCCTTCACCAGCAGTAAGAGTCGGAGGTAGCAACCTTGACAACATTTAAAAACTTAAAAAAAATTTTTTTTACTGATTTGTTAGATTGAATGCTTGTTTTTTGTGGAGTTGGACATGCTTATTTTACTGATAAGATTCTGCTTGTTTTTCATGTCCTCCTTTGGTTAGTATCTGTAGCTGCAAGTACAGTAGACCTGTTATTTTATTGACAGGTAAGAGAACTCACACCAGCCTCCTAGCCACCAGCCCTTCCCAGGAGCCCTCATGGTGCCGGCGCACACCAGGTGTGAGCGGCCACTGGGCGAGCCCATCCTGCTGGCGCAACCAGAGACCAGCTGAGGGGTAGGGCTGGCCCCAGCCAGGAGAAGGCGGCACTGTCTTTGGTGTTTCCAACCTTTTCCTCTGTTGTAACTTTCTCCTACCAATTGCAGAGAGACAGTTTTGAAGTCCCAAAACAAGGTTTATTCCTTGCACAATAAATGTCCCACATTGTCTGTGCAGTGCCTGTTTTCCCACAGGCATCGGCAAGTGGGGGTCAGAGTCTGCCCACCCTGCGTACACAGCCCTTGTCATGATTGCTCCATGGTAGAGAGACGTGCTGATGGCCTGTGCAGGTGTCGTGAGGTGGCTGCCATTCCTGGCATTGCATGCCCAGACTGCTGTGGTCACACTGCTCCTGTGTGTTCCACGGCGGAGAAGGACTGTGGGACTTAGCCGTGCCCCACAAGTGCTGACTGCTGTTGCCTGCTCCTGCAGGCTCTGCAGGAGGCCAGAGAGGAGCCACCCTCCCTGACTATGCATACAGAGATGGCGTCCGTGAGTTCACAGCCACCCAGAGCATAAGGTGGCACATAGCTCCTACGCCAGGCATCTGAGCTGATTTTCCCAGGCACCAAAGTTAGCACCCCTGCACTGCCAGAACTTCCCTGTTTATGATTGGCCCCATGCACCAGGTGCTTAGCCTGAACACTGCACTTGCAGAAGGGCCTTGTAGTTAGGTCAGGGTACATCACGGCAGGGGAAGAAAAGCCAGTAAAGGTAAGTGGGCGCTCGGGGCGGGGGTTGGTGTTTTTATCTGCTGTAACCTGGGGAGCTTTTGAGGCCCCTTGATCAGAAATTGATCTGCAGATGGTGACTGCAGAGACAGTGGGGCCAAGCCAGGGGCCGTCCCAGGCCCTGAGCAAGCGGTGACGTGGGAGGGGCACGGGGCTTCCTCAGCACCTCACAAAGGCTTGCTCCAGCCTTCTCCACCCACATGGCCCGTGGTCTGGGCACGTGGAGTGGGTCCTCCTCCCTATGGCACAGCAGCTCCAGACAGAGGAGAAGCTGCCTGGGTCTTTGAAGGTGGCAGGCCCTGGGCGTGCCTGCCTTGAGGAGCGCTGTTGGAGCTCAGCCCCGCAACTGGGACAGCAGGCCCGCGTGGGAGCCGGTCAGCCTCAGGCCTCTGTCTTTGAGGGAGCTTTGGGAAATACCGGGATTTTTTAATAAACAACAAAACTCATACATCAGCTTAATCCAACCTTCTAGTGACACAAATGGAGCAGGCTGTCTACATTTAGGAGTGTAAGAAAACGTTAAATACAGCAGGTCAGTGTTACAGAATTAATTGTAGGCTATTGGGAGGAGCTCACGAAGTCAAGGACTGCTTAAGGCCAGAGTCTCTGGTTGAGGTGGCTTCAGGGGACCTGAGGTGGGATCCTTTTCCCTGCTAGTGCCTTCTGGCCCTGTTGCCCCCAGGGCAGAATTGGAGCAAGCTGTGGGGCTCTCCTGACCCCTGCACAAGGCCGGCTCTCCATGCAGTCCAAGGATCTGTGGTCCCCTCTGGGAGCCAGGCTGGGCCGCAGCCCCGCCCAGCTCCGAGCCACTGTGAGCCTGGGTGCCGTGGGGTCTTCTGCGCTTTCCGCGCGGGGATCATGAGTTTCTGCTGACGCATTTACCATACGCCCACAGGGAGGTGGGGAAGACAGAGCTCTGGCTCCCACAGAACAGGCTCTGCGTACAGCCATTCTGGACAAGGACAGTCGCGGAGAGACCAGGGTCCAGGTAAGCAGCCCCTGCGCTCTGTTGATCCCTCAGCCGCAGTCCTTTGTGTTGCAGTGTTGCCCAGCAACAATTGTGCAGTTCAAGGCTGGGCTGTCTGCTTACAGCCGAGCTGACCAGTAGTGTGCTGGTGTTTCACGCGCTGTGTAGTGTGGTCACAGTTGAGACTGATAAGTGTCTGAGTGTGTCTAATGCATGCGCAGTGAGGTGGGGACAGCTTCCCTGCTCGCTTCGGGCTCATCTGCTCCTGCCACTGTATTTTCCATCAGCTCATTGCTCTGGTCAAGTATGATTTTCTCAACAGAAGGCTCTTGTGAAGGTTTTATGGGAAGGTTCATCCTTTTAATGAAAACATCACACACAGGCGTATTCTGGTGTTTCTCACATCATGGATCACAAATAGAAAGGCTTGCGGTGTGAGACAGGCTGCGTACACCTCTAACAGATAGCGTGATGTTCGTGTGATGCACAATTCAGTGTATAATTGCACTGAAATACAGAAAGACCCTCACGTTGGTACTTCAGGAGCCAGACTATAGATTTGGAAATCACCTAAGCTTTTACTTAATCGTTTCATACAGACATACTTTTAATTCATGACTTTTTATTTATATTTTGTAAACTCTAAAACATGGAGACCTCGCAGTTGCTCAGCTCGCTGCCCAGGGGATAGCGAATCTGCAGCACTAACCCCGGCTGCAGACGGCGCCTTTGCCTAGTGCCACGCCTGTCCCCAGCCTCCACAGGCTGCGTGCTTAGCCGGGCGTGGAACCCGCCAGGTAGCCCACTGTGAGCCAGCTGCGGTGACTGCTGTGTAAACACCCACCCGGCCCGGATAAGCTCTAGTCGTACGGCCTGCGTTTGCTTGGCAAGTACCCTGGGGCCAGCTGGAACCGCAGGGATGGCCGCGCCGCCTCCTGCCCTGTCGTCTGTGGCTCCCGCCGGCCCAGCTGGACCTGCGCAGCAGCGAGCCTTTTTCTCACAGTCCTTAGCGGGCAGGTCCAGGAGAATTGTAGCCGCTTCATCCCAGACGTGCCATCTCCACATCCATTTGTGCTCCCTGGAGTGTGCTTTTCCACAGCTCGCTTTTAATTTAGGAGGTGAGGAGGTGATGTTCACTGGCTTAGGCCACAGAAGGGGAGGCCAGAAATGACCCTAGGGGCGTGACTTGCCTGGAACTGGGTGGCGTGAAGGGGCAGACAGTAGGCTGAGGGTGCTGATGCTGTAGTTAGGGCTGTCCTGAAGCTCGAAGTACCCTGGGACCCTGTGGCCATGTGACAAGGCCAGGCATGGCCTGTCACTCTGCTGGGTGGAGCAGTTGGGGCAGACTCTGGGGTTGTAGCTGTGAAGACTGCAGGCTGACAGGCCTCCAGGTGTACTAGGGGATGTCCACAAGAAACGTGCACGCCTGGCCACAGGGACGTCCCCTTCCTCCCTCCCTTGGTGCTGTTTTACAAGGGGGCTAAGAGAAGCTCTGAGATGAGGGATGTCTAAACTCAGACCTGGTACATGTGGGAGCAGCCACCAGGCATGTGAGGAAGGGGAAAGGCCAGCCGGCAGGAGGGAGGCCTGTGCAGGAGCAGGCAGGGGTGGGACAGAGACCAAGGAACTCAGGTTGATTCCAGAGACCCTGGCCAGGTCAAGGCAGAAGAGGGCAAGAGGTTCATGCCCAGGGTGCCCAGAGGCCACCAAAGTGCTGGAGGCCTCTGGACCTTCCTTAGCAGCCTGGCCATGACATGTGAGATGACATGCACTACAAGCAGTGTTTGGCTTGGAGTGGCCATGGGTGAGGCGAGGTCCCAGCCTGTCCTTCTCCACATCCCATCCTAGCTGCGCTGGAGGACCCTGCCCCTGGTTCCTGGTAGCCTGCAAGAGTCCAGGCTGTGCAGTAAGGCTTCAGCCCTCAGATGCGGGCTGGGCTGGGGAAAGGGGCAGGTGGCTTCCTCTGCAGAAGCCACTCTGACTCCTCAGGAAAAGCTGCTGCCTGCTCCTCTGTGGTTTTTCCTTCATCAGTGCCCATCCTTGCCCAGTGTGCCCAGGAACAAGGTGAGGTGGCCTTGTATTTGCCTTCCTCGGCCCAAGGTGCTCCCTTCCTCCCTCCACTTAGAAAGCAGAGGTGAGGCCAGGTGATGGCTGGGCAGACAGCACGAGGAAGAACCTGTAGTTGGTACCTGGGTGGGAGAGAGAGACCTACCTACACTTGCTTGCCTAGAGGCAGAGCCCCTGACAGACACTTAGCTGGAGGAATGCACTGGCCGGCACCAAGCCATGGAGTCTGCTCCAGGGACATCAGCCTGGATTACCTCTGTGCCTATCCCTGGCAGTTCTGTGATTCTTTGATCCTGTTTTTTCATGGTGAACAGTGAGTAATAAATAACACCTAAAGGCAAGTAAAGAAACTCCGCTATATGGTTGGAAAGCCATCATCAGGAACAGGCCATTCGCACCCCGTCGGAGAGCTAGGTGGCATGGGGCCTGTTGCCACCTGGCCTTGAAGGCGGCAGTGAGCGCTGCAGGCTCTTCTCATGCACCGCAGCTCCCCCAGGCCTTAGCTGGCTGTGGAGATGAGCTCTTTTTTCTGCCCAGAATGTTCCTCCCTCCCCAGGACTCAGTCCCACCTGAGTGCTTGTCGTGGTTCTGTTGCTGCGTATTGAATGCAGCCTACAGACTCGAAACAGTTCGTAGCTTAGTGAAACAGAATCATTGCGCACAGACTGTCTCTGGGTTTCCGGATACAAGTACACATTCCTCTGGATATTGGAGGGCTCCTGAGCTGGTCCACGGCACGGTGATGGTGTGATGGTGCCAGGGGCTCTGGTGGGCGCCCCAGGGTTTTGCTGGTAACTGCAGTGTGTTGATCCATAACTGCCAGTCAGTTTGCATTTCATTTCGACCACTCTGTAGTATGCCACTTATGCACACAGACAAACGCCAGATGACCAAGAACAGCGTGCATTTCTTCCTGACCCGGAATGAGCAGTGACAGGACTGTGGCCCTAAACTCTGGTGCCGGGTGGTCCCGGCAGGTGAGGGGCCTGCAGCAGTTCTCCTTGCCTCACTCTGGCGGCCCGAGGGGAGGCAGGCCTCATGGTATAGACCCACACTGTGGGGCCACTTGGATTTCAGGAAGCATCTGGAGCCCTGCCTTTGGGTTGTGCCCGGCTGCTGCAAAGCCCCAAGGCTTGCTTCACCGCTACTGTTCTAGTTAATTGGGGAGCTGGGCTGCCCAAATTCAGCCTGAAGTCTGCTGAGAGGCTGTGCCTTG